TGTTTTGCTAGTATTAGATGAATTGAGGCTTATTTTTAGTAACACCGCATCTGTAGGACATAGAATCTGGTAACTGTTAAAAAAACAAGTACGTTTTGTTAATGGAGATGTCTAATATTCATAAAATGTACTTTGTTCTAGAGTAAGAGCAACCGTTGCTGAAACAACAATAGCTAAGCCACAAAATTACGCTTTTTTTATTTGTACCGTTCATTGTAGTTAATGAATAGATAATATTGAAGCATGGAAGGGCAACGAGACCTTGAAACTATAATTAAACATCACAACAATCAAAGCCAAGCCATTATGGACTTGGTCAGTAAACTGGAGAGATTCCCGAATCCTCCTTGGTATATACATAAGGTTCTCTCATCACGTTGCCAAATGGTAGTATGGACCCACTATGGCCGGTAGACAAGAATACGAGGAGTGGCTAGCTCACTTAATTGGCATCATACTACATAGAGGAGGATAGAGGAGACTCCACTTTAGGACATCGTAGCCTTGTATAATCAAGTACCTAATGCAACGAAGGTTTTGACATAAAGTACCAGATACAGATTTAAACCCAAATGTTCGGACCTATCCCTCGTCACACAATATAAAAAATTCCGAAAAATTGTGCGATGGCCTGATTTTGTCTGAAAAAATAATTTACACACTAAAAAGAATGAGGTATTTTTATTTACTGAATCAGAAATTACTAAATAAGTATTTCATAATTCAGTTGTCAAGCCAGTTAAATGTTACATTAATACATATTTAACCTTTAATTACAAATAATTATATCAAATAAGATAAAACCATTACATTTTTTACATAAATTTGATAATAATCTTAAAGTCCTTGATTTATAGAGCCTTTGATAAGCCTTAGATTAATATCAAACAATACAAGCTCGAATCATTGAATAATGGATGTATAAAGTTCATTCTATATATATACATAAATCTAAAGTATGATGTATTGATTCGTTTCCATTAAAATAAAATAAAAGTAACTTAACAAATTATAAACATTGTCTAAACGTGCCGAAAATTTTCTGGAAGAATTGTTACTTTACCAGAAAGAAAAGCAATTTTAACAATTTTTCATTTAAATTTATATTTTCCAATATTTAAACTCATATTAAATTATCTTTTTTATTGCTAACTAGTTTTTGCCCGCGACTTCGTCCGCGTTAATTTCATCATTAGTAATATATGTATAGCTGACCGGGCGAACTCTATTCCGTCCTAGAGGCCATAAATAATCAGGTTTTTCCTGTTTCAATCGAACAGAATGATTGACATATTAGTTAGTTGTCAAATCTAATGTCAAAGAAAACATTTGTATGGGAAATAGAAAAGGGCTGTTTTTAGTGTTTTCCAGAAAATGAATAAATTTTTCTCACCTTTTAAACCTTCCCTGAACCTCCACAAACATTTCAAGACTAAGATAAGATAAATCCGTTCAGCCGTTCTCGAGTTTTAGCAAGACTAAGGAACAGCAATCCATTTTTATATATATAGAAGATTATTAACATGCGTAATTCATGTATCTCTTTATGATAAGTTGTTTGGTGACAAGTTTGTTATGTATTTCATACAACGTCCTCATTTATTTATCTTGTAACTGCAGATACTTTGTACAAAAAAAATATTTAAAATACATTAAAACTGAAAGAAATAATAACAAAGCAATTATGTATTTAAAAAGGAAATGAGAATGTAATAATAACAAGTTCGTGTCATGAACTCAAAAACAACTTAATTTATGATGGCAGGTCACGATAAAAAAACATTACAAATAGTTGTTGATAATGAAGTACTTTATGATAAGAAAGTACATTCCTTGCAATTAAATTATTTAGTAACAACATAACTTTAAAATATAAGCTACAAGACACAATTTTGACAAAATAAATAAGACTATTTCATTCAAATAATTATTTCAAAACATAAAAATAAAGTGGTCACTATATTGTTTCATTACTTTGCAACTGTAATATTCGCGCCACATGTTTCAAAGTTATTCATATCACCTGTATGCATTTTATTGCAAATGGTACGTGCATTGTGGTGAACGCACGTACGGAATATGATATTATGTTTGGGGAGACACAATGAGGGAGGTGTTATTAGAAGAAGATCTCTAAAATCATCGGCAACACAGCTGCAACTATTCTTATACTGCATATGCCCTCGGACATCGGCGGGTCATAATTAGGTAAGCCGTTAAGTCCTTAATAATATTTAAATAAAATGGATTGATTTCGAAAAGCCCTCGGTATTTGGGAATGTTTTATTTATCTGTCAATTGTTTCTCGAACATGACATTATTTCTAGCTCATAACTGTTAATAATAAAGTAACGTTTTCACTTAAGGCTATTAAATTATTTCACTTAATTCTATATTAGTTAAGGTAACACTTTAATAAAAATAAAGTAGCAAATCTACATCAGTTAACTCGGTTATGGAAAAAAATATTAAATTCTCATTCACAATAAAGACTGAAGTGAAAAGTAACAGAAATAGATGCCTAGCGGTTCCACTCTAAATTAAATAATAGAAAATTTAAGTGAAGTAACATTCTATGACATAAATACATTTTATAATCCGTAGCTTATCGTCCGTTCCCTACCGTACCGTATCGTACCCTAACTGACTATTTCATACCCTACTGTACCATAATATATGATCCGATATTTGTTATCCTTATATTCATAACCTCGGTGATGGACTTTTATTATACTCGTAAATGCGGTAATCGTCCTCTAATTGAAGTATTGTTTTGTCAATCAAAGATTCCTCTTTGCTTATTTTCCTGTTATGTTCCTCCAGCTTTGTATCGTAATCGAAATATTTATTTAAAAAAATATTTCCAGGGACATATCTCTGTATAGATGGCTGATGGATAATGATAATTAAATAATCACTAGAATAAAAGTTTTCAATTATTTAAGTAAATCTATTTATTTTTACAAGTTTCTTATAAAATTTTTAATAATCTCTGTTTCCTTATGATATAGCAAGATATTATTTCATTTCTTAAAATTAAAAATATATTAGAACATTCTATTCAGTTTTCTATAATTTATAAAACTCGTACAAGATTGATTAACTAGACCGAGAACAATTCTAATACGTACGTCATTAGGACAAATAAGGCAACATCCCCGAATTTCGTCGAAACTTCAAGTGACTCTTGTTGTTTAGATAAAGAGATTACCAGTTTCTTTCTTTCGAGTACTTTATTATTAGATTTTAACTTAATCGTATATTCGAACTTTAAGAAAATGTTGCAATTAGGTAGGGCGTTTGAGAAAAAAGTATAAAATTCTTATCCTCTTCCGTTCCTCAAAACAACAATATGTCAAGAGTAAACATTATATATAATAATTACTACATGTAAAGACGTGCAAAATTCATTCATAAATTAATTTTAAATGATATTAAACTAACTTATTATTAATACAAAAAAATGTATTATTAAAGTAGATCTGGGAAAAAACTCATAAAATATTTAATTTCCCAAGTAATACTTGATCAGAATTGTAAAAGTTACTAAAATTCTAATTACATTAAATGGCCCATAATGATTTCATTTAAAACAGCTTTAACTCTTTCGTCTTAAAAATTAATTAAATATTATCCAAGGCATCTAAATTTAAATACGCTAATTGCCAAAGTCAAGGCATCAAAGTATAATAAATTATATTGGCTGTTGAATTCGTTTTCTGAAACAAATTAGTTAACAATTATTTAAATTAATGAAAACGAGACTGCAGCTACCTTTAAACCTATTTCTCACCTACGAACTTGGAAAAGCAATTACTGTGATTATAGAGAAACATATAACTTCTAGTTCAGTAATGCTGCTAGTTGTAATATTAATTACTACATTGTGAGTTGTTACTGCCTGGTTTCTCGTTCTGATTTTACTAAATATGAATTCATGGTTTTACTTTTACTTATACATATTTTTTGTACTTCTGTCAACTTTCTAAACGATTTTGTATAGTAAAAAATGAATCTTAATAATACTGATTTGATTGCACGGAGAAAGTATCTTTAATGTTTAATAAATAGTAATTATAATAAAAATACAGTATGTTATATTGAAAATCTTTGAATTATATAACATTCGTACAATAAGGACGTGAATGAGATCAAAAAGTTAATTGTATTACATCACAAGTTAAATCTTTAGCAGGCGTAGTATAACTGTAGAAGTTGACTGAAACGTGTCTCAAAAACATATTACCTATGGTGTTATAACTTAACTATTCTTCTTGTCTGTTTATAAAAGTATTTTTACTTCATTTCTTAATGTTTATAAAGATGCAGCTACTTAGCAATGAATTCAATTTTTTCAATTATTTTTTATATGTTTTATCGAAGACTGCAACTTAATAACAATACTTCAGAAAAAGCTAAGTCTTATGTAATTTAATATATTATTTACAATAGAGTACCTCAAAAAGCTAGTAGGACTTTCCTGAAAGATATTATTGTAAAATATCATAGTAAGCTAAAAGATGGTCTGTATTGCCATTTCAATTCTATTTTAAGAATTTCTTGATGTATAATGCTGGTTAAGAAAAAGTAAATGAATATAATAAATATTTATTATAATTTAATCTGATATTTTATCTTCTCATGAATTTCTCATCTACTCCTACGGCAAAAAATAATTGAGGAAATGTACTGAAATCAAGTTAAATAAATTGTTTCTTTGACTATGATACAAGTGGTATATGTTTAAGTAGAAGTGTTGAAGTCGAATTAGTTTTGTAAGTTTAGATAAATATGTAATATTATTAAATTTCTCTGAAATATCTATATAAGGTTGCATGGAACCTAAATAATACATAAATAAGAGATAAATAGATAAATAAGAATTGTATAAGATATTTTATATTTGATTACTTTAAAAGTTTTGCAAAAATCGCAGTCGCGATGTTCGGAAGTGAGGAGACCTAGGCAGTAAGTTTTAGGAGAACGATCCTGTCACTCCGTTAGTCCTCAGGTGAAGAAGAATACGTGTGATGTGAAACTAACTTCACCTCGTTACCTCTCTGCTTGTAGCTAGCCGCCTCTAGATTTAGGACACCCGGGTCGGCATTGCACTTAGCCTCACCACAAACTGGTGGGATCATAGTTGCATATTCGCCTGCTCCTGTTTTACCCATCCACAGCCACACGCTCACGTAGGGGTAGAGCAGTCTTCCCGCCGACGGTGCTGTGGTAGACCAAGTTTGAAGGAACTCATAACCCCGTCACATAGGTATCGTACGCCGGTGACTTTTGATGGCTTCGAGTCCCACACACCGCTCCCTGCCCCTCAGGGAGTGAAGGCTCGACGGAGATTCCCCCAATGAAAAACCTTACATCTGTTATACCTAGCCACACCGGCAATTGTTGCTTGTGAGGTTTGCCGTTTAGATACTTAAATACAAGTATGTATGGTATGACAAGACTTCCATTAGTGACCTATTTCAAAAATGACTATTACCACATAACATGAATTATTAGCTATATATGAATTTAATTAGACACATTGGTTTTGAAATTCTTGATATCTTAAAACTGATGGTAACTTTTTAATTACTGTTATGTTCTTAAATATTTGAAGTTTCGGCGGATGAGGTTTTCTTTAATATCAAACAATGAAATTAAAGTACCTAAGAACATGGTAACATATGAAACATATAAATAGTGTAGATTACGAGAAGGAATATTTCAACTTGCAAAACATAAGTTTTAGATACGAACAATATCTGCCGCAGACTTGTAACTAATATTAAAACAAGCCTCAGTTCATCGAAGCAAAGTTATACACAATAAACACAGTAGTTGCTCGCTGAACTGACGATATACTGAAAGCGAGTTTAAGGTTATCCTGACTTTATAATACATTATAATATTTTCAAGATTACATCATGTAAAGGTAGTGTTAAATATGTTCAATTTCAAATCACTTCACAATAAAGTTTATGAATAAGTATATTACGAAAAAAAAAAGTTTCATCTTACATTTTTTAAACATTGGTAAAGCATTTTGATTATTTAATATAAAAAGCGAAAAGTACCAGTTAAATAATAAACACGCCAGGACTGTAAAACTATACTTGGTTAAAATAAAATATATATACAATTTTTAGATATATTAGATATTGAAAGCATACATCATACGATGTTAAAAATTTAATATTATACAAGGCGTCCATAGAAGATCGCAACTATAAATTCCTAAGCCGCTTTAAGTCGCATACGTTAACCACAAACTAACAGCACAAATTTTAATCTGTTAAGATTAATATGTTACTCTTTATAAACAAAAAATATAGTCAATATACTTTTTATAACGATATTAATATAGTTTTAAGATCAGTTAAAATTCAAAAGTTATTACGTAGTAACAAATTATTAATATTTTAATTTTGTAAATCGGAACTTTTATAATATATGTACTGGTAAGGTTAATATAATATTTTTTTATTTAAATTATTTTAAATTTAATTATTTTTTTAAAATGTTGATTAAAATAATAACCAAATTGAAGAATAGTAAAAACGTTTAGTTTTTAATTACATGACTTCAGCGATTATTATTATAAATTGCTTAAATATATTTTTGACACATCAAGGTATTAAAGGGTCGATGTGCTTGCAGTGACCAATCAATTACAAGGAAATTATAATTAATTGATAAGTCCACTTCATTAAAAATGTTTAAAACTGAGATCTTTAAATTTAAAGGTTCTTAAAACGTCATAATATATTATTTTGTTAAAAAAAATATAAAACAAAAAAAGATACAACGTAAACGATAGATAGTTACAGTCTCCCATGGATCTCTGCAACATAAGAAATGTTGCGGATGCGTTGCCAAACTTTATTGTGGGAGGGGTAGAGAAAAAGGCATGAAAAGGGAAAGGTTAGGGAAGGGCAGGAAAAGGGGAAGGTCAACCGGCTCAGTATGCAATGATTACCATTAGAAACTGGTAATAAAAATGTAGTAATAGTTGTTCTAGGATTAACAAAAGTGATATTCATAAAATAATACATAATATAAAATTAACACAACAAAACTAACATGAGTATTGAAATCTATCAAAATCAGAAACATGTAAATTTCTTCTTTTGTGTCTTATATGAGTTAAAGATTTTTTAGTTGTAAATAATGTGGAATGTAATATAACGATCGCGAATAGTGAAATGTAATGAGGACATGTATTGAGCAAACAAATGGCGTATTAAAATTTTATATATTTTTTTACACATTGATGAGAGCTATTAACTTAAACAGACATCGATTAATTTTAACTGAAGTTTAATTATTAACGTATGTTATACATTGTAAATAATATTGAAAGATAAAAGATTTTATTCTTTTTGTGCACCAATTAATTCCAAATCAATCTTCTTTTATAACGAAAAATGTTGAATTTGAAAAAACAATACATTTTTCTGAAAATGAACTATGTTGAATGAACCTGTATTTCGTCTGCATGTTACCAAAAGTATAAACATATATTATAGATATCTTTTATATTCTAATTGCTGGTTTAATGAAATTAATGTATCTTAAAATTTTCATGTGGAACTGTACTGTAAAATATGTATTTATTTCAAGGAGAATACCTTATAATTTACAAATCTCATTTAAATTATCAGGTAAGTCGCCACCGGTACATCGTCACAGATATATCACGAACTCACTTTACGGTGTGTCCCGAGTGCTGGATGGGGACCGATTTCAAAAGATTTACGACTCGGAATCTAGATACAGAATTAGTTGAGGTTTTTCCTTTTGTTACCATGCACATTGTGTGCGCGTGGAAACATACATTTAGATATTTGAATATTAATTAAATGTCAGTATGACTTGTGGCTGTATTTACATATATGTATTCCTTTTTAAATATTTAGTAGAAAATATTAGTAGAATTAATTAGTTTTATTTTCTTAAATAAAACTTACAAAAATAAGAATACGATAACTGATACTTGCTACTGAGTTTAAATTTATACTTTTGTATTATTATTTAGGATTCTATTATTATATATTAGTATTTAGTTACGTAACCTATAGAAGGCACCGACTTTAAAGAGTGATTTGATATAAAGAAATTGCTTGTATATTGTAAGTATTAAATTAGATTATTGTTAAATCAGTAAGGCGATTTTTGTGCAGACATTTAGAATTTAGGATTAGTTAGGTTAGGTTAGGAAATAGTATTTATAAGTAATATCATTTTTATACTCTTTAGTCAGAAGGTTCCTGTTCTTTTTTATGAAGTCATACTTTTTAATAAAAAGCTGTGGTTAAATTATTCTTTAGTGATCGTGCATTAAACAGAATACTGACATAAATAACTCTTTGATACATTATACTGTTGTTAAATGACCATTTTATTTCATTAATACGATTACACTTATTGGTAAAGAACATAATATGCTCACTTGGATTATATTTCTATTTCAAGATATAAAATAGGTAATTTATAAAGGCGATGAAGGGAATATTATAATAATCTAATGAGATTTATAATATATGTATTTTAGTTTTATCTTCTGCTCAGAAAATGTCGTGCTTATTGAACTATTTGTGTATCATCACACTAATTCCACATAACACCATTTAATGATCGAATCCATGATCTGTTTTCGAATACAATACAGTTACACAGGTGTCAAGTTGGCTTCAAAAACTCCAGCTTTTGTATATTACTTTATCATTTTCCTCTATTTTTCCGAGCACCTTTGTTCAGCTGTAAACCAATAAAAAGAAGTTTTTGAGTTCATTGAATATTGACATAACTCGTTATTTCCCAATTTAAATACAAAGCGACATCTCGCATAGCGTAATTCGAAATCATTTTAATGCTAATTATATAAATCGTTTATTTAAATATTACATATATTATATTATATTATAAAGTATTTTAAAATAACCAATACATAATCATAATGTTGTTACAACGATTATTTACTTTACAATGAAAGGAGTTTTTGAACACTTTAACCATAATACTCGTGTCAGAAAAATAAATAAATAAAGTTGTGACATCAGTGTATATCAAATTAAGCAATTTACACATGATGTATAATTATTTGCAAAAAATGGCATGGTTGTATGAAGTCACGATGTCCTTTTTATAGTTTTAAAACATTTGCCTGATAAAGTAATTTTACTCTAAAAACTTAATCAGATATTTATATAAAACTAAAAAGGGGCTTTAACTTTAAAAGAGACTTTTCTTGTGTAAAGACAGTAACAGTAAGTAAGTAAGTAAGTAAGAAATTAACAGCTTAATCTTAAAATACTTCCCCCAAACCACATGGGTCATGAGTGTTTACAATTTTTTATCTAGATCCTATAGAACTTATTATACTTGCCAACATTTCTTTATATAATTTATTTATTCTTAACACTGAGGTAAAGACAAAAATTTAATATGTTTTTAGACATCGTTATATCATGATAACTCAAATAATATAATTTTACACCAATACCTCCTATCTATTATGCACTCTTGATACAAAAAAAAAGACTCTTTTTAAATTATATTGCAGTGTTAAAAAATAACTGTTTATGAGATCAGTTGATATTTTGTTATCTGTCTATCATAACATGTTGCATTACAGCCGCATGCAGCGCTGAAATAATGTTTGAGTCACTTGGCTGGGCTACAAAGTTCAGTATAGGAACAATGGCTTTCGCCGTCTAACCGTGTGTCGTTTATATTCAATGTTTATCATTATTTAAGTTTTAAAGTCTCGGGTCATGTGTATCGATTATTATCAATTAAAGCAAAATACTGAATGAAGAAAAGGAAATTTTATTAAATGAACATTGTATAAAGATCATTGTATAATCAAGCATTGTATAAAGATATATATTTAAATTTGTGATCACAGAAATTGACTTTTCGTTTGTCAGTTTGTCAGGAACGATTGTAATAAAACCAAATACACATTCTGGTATGACACTAACAAACTAAATATAGTTTAATAAACTATTTAGCCTTAAAACTGTATTTTAGATATGTAGCACGTTTTTAATTTGTGTATTTAGTACTAGTTTAAATGTTTTATTTACTTTACAACCATTTTTTCACTGAAATATATTTATATTCATTGAAGTCATGTATATAAAAGAAGAGGCCTTAGAACATATTCGGAAGTTCTATTTTAATTATATGTATTACTTTAGTGATTTTTGAAACTGTTATTCGTCAATTTTTTTGAATAAACTGAAATTAAAATAATTTGTAAGCAATCGAAATATCGCCCAAAATGTAATCATATTTTTCTAATCTTGAACTTTAAAATCTCTACCACACTTAATTTAAGTGTTAAGGAACAAAACTTGCTAAGCAAACAAATATTCATGTTACCTTTATATTTTCATTACTTTATGATTCCATATCAACATCCTTAAAATTTCAAATAGAATTAAGACTTGAATATGAACACTTAAATAACGTATATATCGGCGTTATCAGTTTGAATAATGGATGCGACATGAAAATAACTCGAGCCTCTCATTAATTCTTATTAAAACTCATTAGTATTCATGATTATTGTTAAAAGTAAAACGAAATCAAAGATTTTTTTAAAAGGAGAATAGAACTATGTTGAAGTCTTGGTATAAATATGACGTCTGGACGCACGACGGCAGAGTTCA